TTGGTCTAGATGGCAATTGGACGACGACGCACGTTTGTCCGTACCAGACGAACGACGACGGCCTAGAAGGGAAACAGCAGCGCAAAGGGCAGCGGACCTGCTCGGCAAGAAGTGGTGGAGGTGGACGCCTGGCGCAGGCTACACCTATGGGCGGTCGAAGGATCTCTCAATGTACACGCATGGCCCAGGTATTGCGCTAGCACAGCTTGCGCCCCCGAATCACAAGTACAAAGTCCCGTAAGTCTCGAGCGCCACTGCAGCAGAGCAGCAGCTATGGCACTGGCGATCGAATCTAGTTGATCTGCTTCCAGCGCCTTGGATAGCGCACATTCGTCGCGCGGATTCAATGGAGTCCGCCGTGATGCGCGGTCCGAGTGCTAATTATGCACAGCACTGACTCTGCCGTCATCGCTCCGCTACTCAGACGCTTGCCATTGATTCCGAACGCATCCAAGCGCGAGCTCGCATGGGGGATCTTTTGGATGATCCTCGTCACCGGGGTCTGCGCCCTGTTGCTCGAACTCAGAGCAGCGCGACGCAGGATGAGAAAAGGGAAGGGAGTATCGCGTGCGTCACACACGATGCAGCGCCAGCCAAATGAGGGGATGATCACGCTCTCGGGCTGGATGTCATCCACGTCGGCCTGGATCGAAGGCCCCAGAGCGTTGACAATCGGCAGCCGGCCCATACATTCCCGCCAACGTAGCAAGGCACTCGCGTTGCGTCAATTGTGCGAAGATGCGCTGAACACTGGCGCAAAGAAAGCGGCAAAGAGCGGTGCTCAGGTGAAGGCCGCTTTGAGCATTGGCACCAATCATCCTCCTTTTGTCAACACCACGCGACATGGTCATGGGGATACGTCAGCTACCATCGAGCTCATGGAAAATGGCAGCTTCTCGTCAAGCTCCTCTGGCATCGACAGCAACGATTCCATCATCAGCATTGTGTCGAGTCCAAGTCTGGGAAGCGCCCCTATGAAGAGGCACGCGAGTCACGGCGTGGCTCCTCGTGACGCGCCGGT